TGCACACCCCTACCCCGGGAATGGGTTGTTCCAGAGCCCCATGGGCGTGGGAGTGTACTAGGTGGAGGGTGCGTGTGCAAGGGGAGATGATTGTGCACGGAGAAAAATGTGCGCGCATGGTCTTTTATCGGGGGAAATGAGTGTGCAAGAGGATGTGAGTGCAAATATAAGGATGTGGAGCAGTGCAAGAAGAGATGACTGTGCAAGGAGAAAGCTGTTTTACTTGGGGAAAAGTGTGCAAATGGTACGTGCAGCAATGGGTGAGTGCAAGATGAGGCGAGTGTGTGAATAGAAGGGTGTGTAAGTGTCTTTACTGTGAAGATAAGCGTGTAAGTGGTGTGTGCTGGGACAAAGGATTGTGCAAGGGGAGATGGATATGCAATGAGAAGAATGAGTGTGCAAGGGGGTTTACTGGGACAGGAGAGTGTGCGAAGATGAACTCCAGAAAGGGAGAAGAGTTTGTATGGGGGCAAGCTGGGAGAGGTAAGTGTGCAAGGAGAGTTTGCCAGAAAGGGTAAGATTTACTTCTGAGGGAAGTCAGCTCAAAAAAAAAAATTAAAATTCTGTACACAATAGTTTAAAATGCGACATTTTATTTATCAAGAAATAAATTTGGAGCCTCCAGTGTGCCAGCGACAGGCAAGTGTGCAAGAGGAGTTGTGTGCAAGGAGAAAGGTCACTGGCTGCACGGAGGTGGGAGCTCACCCTGCTGCCCCCCTCCCTCCCAGATGCAGATGCTCTGCCCCAGGTGCATGAAAATAGCAAACTAGGACAGAGTCTTGCCCACACACCCAGCCATGGTCCCCAATCACAGTGTGGGCAGCAGGCTCAGCCCAGCAGGATCCGAGGTGTGGGGGGGTCCAGGCGGGGGGGTGAGACGGTTCTGTATGGGATAATCTGGGTTCATGGGACTCAGCGAGGGATCCCTGGGGGGATCTAGATGCACAGGGGTTTATGGGGGGGTTCCAGGTGCAAGAGGAATGGGGTTCTGCAGAGGGGTCCAGGTGATGGTGTTTGGGTCTCAGCGGGGTGGGGGTCTGCATATGGGGGACTCAGCAGGAGAGTCTGGATGCTGAGGGTCTAGGGTTCCGAGTGCAGTTGGTTGGGGCTCAGTGGAGAGGAGAGGTTATGGGAGGCTCATCTGGACGGCCCAGGTGCTGTGAGGATGGGGTTCATCAGAGTGGAGGTTTGTGCAGGGTGGAGGTGTAGTCTGGGTGCAGGGAGGAGGGGTCCAGATGCAGGGGGTGGCTGGGGGGGAGGGGCTGGCTACAGGGTGACTCCAGATGGAGGGGATGAAGGTCAGTTAGGTGAGGAGGTTGGGGAGAGGGTCTTGGTGTGGGATAGCTGGATGCATGGGGGCTTGGGCAAACAGGGGAGCAGCTCCCTGTACAGTTGCCCCTCTTGCAGCTGAAGAGCAATGGAGGCAGGAAGCCAGGACAGTTGTGTGGAGCAGAGGGCAGAGATCCTGTAGCTGGGGAAGGTTTTGGGGGTGGGTCTGACCTGGCCTAGCTGCTCCTTGCAGGGGAAGAGCTACCTTCCATCCCCTGCCCCCAGCCCAGCTGGGCTAGCAGCTGAGCCCTGCACAAGGTAGGTGCCACAGGCAAGGGTGTGTCCAGCCCTGTTCCTTGGGCTGATTTACCTCTCTGCTAGCTTCCCTATCAAAAAAGGCACTTTTCTCTGGGGCAGCAAAGAAATCTGTGGGGGACATGAATTCTGCTCATGCACCGTGGTGCAGAAGTCCCCCAGGAGTAACCCAATTAACTATCTATAGTATTAATCTGCCCCCCCCCCCTGCATCCTGTCTGTGTCTCTGGTATCTTTAAGCCATTGCTCATTGCAAATGGCTTTGTAAAGAGAGGCAGGGCTGTTGTGCTGGACGTGGAACCAAGGCCCAAGGTTTTTAGGGACCTGATTCCCATTTGGCTGGTGTGAAACCCAAAGGGAAGGTGATTGGAGGAGAGGGGGCAGAGGGACCCCCAGTAGCCCGGGCGGGGGGGAGCTGTTGGCCTTTCCACACTGCAGTTTTATTTGGGGGTGGGATTCCAGTTCACTCTTTTCTATTTAAGGAAACGGAACACGCCCAAGCCCCAAGGAGCCCAGCACCCCAGAACGGTCCCTTCTGCCCCAGTGAGCTTGGCCAGTTTTGGGGTGGACAGGTGGGGACGCCCCGGGATGGAACGCATCAAGCCCAGTGCCCCTCCCCCCACATCCAGTCTTGTGCAGGGAGGGGCAGCTGTAGCCCTAGGGTGCTCTGAACACCCCCAGCCATGCTATTGCAGAGCCCCAGGTACAGACGCTACCGGCCGCCCCGATTCCAGAGGGGCTGACCGACCCAGGGCCTCTTTCTGGAACTTCTCTGGCTTCACACCCGTCAAAGCCGGATCCGGCCCCAGTGCCACTGGGATGCACAGCCCCTTCCCCAGCTGGCCTTGCAGGGCCCTGAGCCTGCCTGGCATTGACGCCAGCTCCGGGGGGCAGCGTTCTCAGGGCCGAGGTGCCCCCGGCCTTTGACCACCCCAGCCCCGTAGCCCAGCATGAAGCAGCCAGGCCGGCAGCGTGTTCAGGATCACGCCGGGGCCCAGCAATGCTCCATCCAGCCTCCTGTCCTGCCTCTGCCAGTGGCCGGTGCCAGCGGGGCGATTCTGCCGGATCTGTGCCTCGTCAGCCAGAGCCTGGTCAGAGCAGAGCACGAGGGGGAAGGGGGAGGGTGTCAGCAGCCCTCTTGGCTACTAGCCACAGACGGGCTGTTCCTCCGCGAACGTGCCTTGTTCCTTCCAATGCTTTGCCCCGGCGTGTGTTCCCGCCTGGGGCACCGGGCAGCCCAAGGGAACCCTGGTCTCTTGTCTCCAGTCAGCCACCTCTGCCTCCTCCCCGCACTACGGGGAGCTGCAGCCTTGGCGCCAGGGGCCGGCGAGGCGCGGGCCCCTCTCCAAGGCCTTCGAGCCAGTGGGCCGGGGTGAAAGGTGTGACAGGGAAGACAAAGCACATGGGAGGCAGCTGGGTGTGAGCAGAGGGGCGGGTGCCCATGGAAAGCGGGCAGAGCTGGGCATGGGGAGACAGAAGGCTAGGACCTGAGAAACTAATTCAGCCCCGGGCGCTGAGGCTGGACCCTGTGACCTGAGACCAGACCCCACAGGGACGTGTCCCACCTGTGCTTAAAAACCTCCAGTGGAGGGCGGGGACCCCCCAGCCTCTCTCGGAGAGCCAGATCCTTTCCCTCGTATGGACCCTAGCTACAGGCGAAGCCCTTTGCTTGTAGTCCTGTTTTCGGTGGATATGGTGGAGAGAGGGTTGCCAGGTGTCCGGTTTTTGCCCAGACAATTCAGTATTTTGTCCTTCGGTCTGGTTAAAAAAAACCCGGTATTTTCTGATTTCCTTAGACGAATGGCTGGCGGCTTCTGCGAGGGTGGGGGGAGAGGGCGAGGAGTGCAGTAATTTAAAGGCGCAGTGACTTTTTTTTTTTGCTTAACAAGTTTGGTCTCCCCTTTTTTTTGCTCAGCCAATTTTTCCTACCTGTTCAGGATTTTTGGTGAAGGTATCTGGCAACCCTAGGTGGAGAGCCCCGTGCGCAGAACAGCCCATAAACGTGTCTGCTGCCCCCTCAGCTGACTGCTCTCCAGAGGACACCCAATTTGGGTTGTTGCTGTCTGCTGTCTTGTACTGTCGTTCCTCCCGTGCCATGGCTGAGTACAGCAGGCCCATGCCCTCCTGCGGGCGGCAGCCGACACTCCAGCTCCAGCCCCTTGAGTGAGTCGCTTCTTCAGTCGCTGCCTCCAGCCACAGGCTCATCTTCAACATGGGACCCCCGGTTGGGCGCCATCCATTCGACCTTGAGGGTGGCTTGAACCCCAGCGCTGCTCTTCAAAGCACCCTCCCTCACTCCCGGCTTCCTGCTCCTCAAGGCCGTCTTGGAAATACCGACCCCCGGCCCCTCCCCTTGCTAACTGCGCTCGGCGGACGGGCTTTGCGCATCTCCCTACGGCAGCTCTGTCTCGACCACATCCCCCTAATTTGCTCAGGAGAAGATATTTCACGTCTGCTTCCCCCCCCAGCCCACTCGGCCTGTTGCTCCTACAGGGTTGGGCTTCTTGTACTCTCTCTCCTGCAGGTTTCTTCCCTTGTGCAAGGCTGCAGGGAGGTGTGGGGGCTTGGGAGAACCAGCAGGGCTGGGGCAGCTGTGGGCAGTGAGAGGGGCGGGGCCTTCCTCCAGCACCTTTCCCATCAGGCTTTTGCAGACACACACCCTGTGGGGCTGGGACGTAGCCTTAATCACCAGTTACAAAGCGGGGAAACTGAGGCATCCAAAAGGGAAGGGGAACAGAACCCAACCGGTTCAGACAGCTGAACACTTAAAGGGACAGTATATGCTTTTAATGCCACTTGTGACAGGCTAGGATCTGAGCCCCATTGCCTCCCCACCAGCAGGGACTGAGCCCCCCCTCCCCCGATCGTTCCCCTTTAACAGGCGGGGACTGCAAAATGGGAGTGGGGAAAGTGGGGAAGAGCTGGGAGTCGGTCTCTGCAGCTTCCAAGTCTATGCTCAGCCTGAAGGTTTCTCCCCAAACACTGCTGAACAAAGGTTCCCAGCCCAAGGCAGGGCAGGGTCCTTATCCCTGCTGACAGAGGGGGAAACTGAGGCACGGGAGGGGCCTGACTTGCCCAAGGGCAAAGACAGAGCTGGGAGAGAACCCAAGAGTGCTGGTTCCCAGCCCAATTAACCCACAAGACCCTGCTCCCTTCCCTCATCTGAGAACAGACCCCAGCCTGCCTGCTCTAACCGCTAGGCCATGCTGCCTCCAAAGTGGGAGGAGATGGGTGGGGGGCGGGAGAAGAATTCTGCTCACAGACAGGACTGATACAGAAGGAAGGGGGCAGGTAAGGAGAAAGGGGTGGGGCATAGATTTAGTTTGACGCTTTCCTTGGCCCGGCCTGGTCTAGCAGGCCCATGTGCACACAAAAGCACCCACACACCGGGGCCTTTCTGGAGCTTGGGAGCAGTTCCACCCCAAGTACAATTATTGCCAAGGTTTTATCACAGCAAAAAAAAAAAAGTCATGAAATTAAAAACAAAACAAAGAGATACCAGATCCCGCCCTGCCCGGGCCCCCGTCCGAGAGAGAGCACAGCCTATTCCGTCCGTCCGTCTCCCCTCCGCTGCGATTCAGAGCAACAGTCCAGATCCGGGAGCCAGGCTTTGCCGCTGGGTCTGTCCCCGCCCCGGGGACGTGTCTGGGGGCGCTGCCCGGACTCCTTTTTATAGCGCCTGCGTTTTCAGCTCCACGGGCTCCCCGGGGGGCTCCGGGGAGGCCTGGCCGTCCGCCACCGGCTCCCCTTTGAGGATGGCCAGCCGCTCGGCCAGGCCCCGCATGCGGGGGCAGAGGATAAAGTCATAGATGAGTCCACCCAGAGTGGCGCCTAGGACAGGACCGACCCAGTACACCTGGGGGAGGAGGCACAATGGGCACGGGGGTTAGGCAGGGACGTGGGGGGTTCATCCGTCCCCGAACAACCGGTCTCCTCCATCCTGCTTTGACTCCCTGACCTTGGCTCTGCCACTGCTGGTGTGCCATGGAACACAGCCTCAATTGCCCTGGCGTTCGCTCCGACCCCTGGAGCAGACCCCATGGGCGGTGGCTGGACTGAGGGCTGGGAGAGGCAAGCCTCCAGCCCCCCCTCCAGTCCTCTGAGGTCCCATGGGAACCAAGCAGCCCCCCCCCACCCCACTGTAAAGGCAGGCCACCCCTCCAACAGCAGGTGGCACGTGGCTCTAGACCAGTGTTTCTTAAACTGTGTTCCACGGCACATCAGTGTGGCACGAGGCAGTCGGAAGTGTGCCGCGGAGAACAGAGTTCAAAATGGCCACCCTTAAAGGGGCAGGAGACCTTTTTTTTTTTCTCACTAACTTCCCCCCCCCCCGACCCTTTTTTTTCCCCTTGGTGTTCCTTGGTCTTAAAATTATTGTTTGGCGTTCCTCGGTCTTAAAAACTTTAAGAAACCCTGCTCTAGACTCCCCCCTGCCCCCCCCACCGGCACCCTGGGAGCACTGCGGGAGGATGGTGCATGGTGCCCAGTATTCCCCCAGGTGGTCAGTGCATGGGGAAAGGGTAGGGAGGTCGGGCGCCTTCCCCAGAGCATAGGGATGGGGGTGGGGTGTAGGTGGGGCTGGACTGGCAGTTTGGGAAGGCTCCCCGCTTCTAATACCCACCACCCGTGCCCCTGGGTCATCATGTCTTGGTTCATAGCTGAAATTCATGGCAATGGAGGAAGGGGAGATTCACGCCCCCCTGCTCTAAAATTCCACTTGAGCAGGTGGAAGGAGAGACAAGACAGAGGGGTGAGCTGTTCTGAGTCCCTGCAGCAGGGGGCAGTGCAGCACACTATAATGCAGCCACCTCTGGGGTGGGACATGGCAGCTGTTAATGCATGACAGCGTAAAATAAGAAGGGTTGGACCCTCAGGGTGGGGCATTTAGGGAAGCAAGCCAGGAGACTAGGGGCCGCTGATGGTGGGTGTGGACTCAAAACAGTGTGGCTTCATGGAGCAGCGCGCCCTGCCCTGCCGCCCCCTCCTTACCCAGTGGTTGGAGAAGTTGCGGGTGATGACAGCAGGGGCGAAGGATCGTGCGGGGTTCATGCTGGCTCCTGTGTAGTATATCTGCAAGAGAGGCGGCGGGGGGGAAGGGGTGAGGTTCCCAGTGGATCCTGGCCCCCCCCCATGCTGTGACTTGCCCCAAGGTAGGAGCAGGAGCAGGGAGCAGCCATGGGAGGGGTAGCGGGTGCCCCATTGCAGGGGCTGTTAGGTCACTTAGGGTGCCACCTGCAGGGCCCCCCCATAAGGTTCTCTAGCCCACCTCTCTATAGTCACAGCCGTTTCTACTCCCCCCTCCCCGTCTGTCTGTGATGAATCTTGTACCTCGGAGCCCCCGCAGTGTGTGTGAGGGGGAACCAAAGCCCAGCCCAGGTCATAGGATAGCTCCTCCCCCCAGCCATAGGGAGTTGGGGGGGGGGAATGGGAGAAGTTTATGCAAATAAGACAAGGCATGGTAATTCCCTATGCTAATTAGGGCATTGCCTCATTTACATCAAGCCAGGAGTCTCCACTCTGCAGCCATGAAGTGGGATGAGGTCAGGCTGCCCCCAGGTATAATCAGAGCTGGCCTGGCAGGGAGCTGGGACAGGCCCCCGGAGCAGGGATCCCGGCTGTGCCAAGCCCCCAGCTCCAAGGGGTGCCCAGAAGCTGGCCGGCGAGGCGTTACCCCAAAGAGGTGTCCCAGGGCGAGGGAGAAGCCGATGGCCAGCGCCACGGAGCCCATGCGCCCGTTGTGGCGATCATCATATGCAGCGAAGATGCAGAGGACGAACTGCAGCGTCAGGAAGATCTCGATGGTCGTGGCCTGGGCCAGGGTCACGCCGGGCTGGATCTGTGGGGGGGGATCCAGATGGGATCAGCAGCAGCTGGCACCCCCGGTCCCAGCCGGCGAGGGAGGCAACCTCCCCATGTAACCCCAGCTTACGGCTCTCCTCCCGGCTCCCCTCCGCTACAGCCCAGGTTTCTGCTCCCAGCGCCCAGGCATGTCCCCCGAGCTGAGCTCCCTGCAGCGACCTGGGGGGCCACAGGGTCCCCAGCCCTCAAGCAAGCAGAGGCCAGTGTCTCATGGACGGTGCAGGGTGGCAGGGGAGAACCCGGCCTCGGGGGGGGATAGACCCCACAGGAGATAGGTCCTCGAGGCCCGCGCTGGCCCAGCCATAGGGTGGGGGAAAGTTCTAGTGACAAATCCATTTCACTGGCACCATCGTGCTATGCACCACAGGCTACACAGGGCTCCCCAAAGACACAGCTCAGATCCGGCTGTGCTAAGGGGAATCTCCGCCATGGATCAGCTGTGCAGGGGCTAGGACACGCTGCAGAGCAGTTCCACTGCTGATCCAGAAAAGGGCAGCATAAGTGTGTTACACACACACACCATTGTATACTCTCTCTCTCTCTCTCTCTCACACACACACACACACACACACACACACTCACACTCACTCACTCACAGAGTCACCTGAGCCCTGGACTTCCAGGCAGCCCCACTAGCTCCCCCTGAAAAAGCAGCTCCGTCTGGTGCTAGAGGCAGCAGGCCCTGACCAGGAGCTGAGCCGCTCTGCGGTTTGCTGAAGGCACCAGGTGGGAACTGCATCTGATCAGAGAGCTGCTGCTTTATGAGAGCTATTCAGGGAGCTGCTGGAAACTGCAGCCAGGTCCGTGCACCGGCTGCCGGCGTTTGGAGCAGCAGAGCAAGGCTCCTGGGGAAACTGAGGCACAGAGGGACAGCGGTGGGACAATGCCAGCGTGGCTCCCAGCTGTTCTGCCAGATGGCGGGACTCTAGGGCAGGCTGGAGAAGCAGAGGAACTCTACGACTCTTAGGGCAGCATCACGCCACTGGCTTCCTGCCCAGGAGTTTCCCGATGGCTGAGGTCGGCCCTGAAGTGGGAAGAAGCCCCACAGCTGGGAAGGAGGCTCCCTGCCCCTCATGGTCTGCCATGTGCGTGGCTGCCTGTACGCCTTCATGCTGCCTGGATGTCTGGACACGGGGCCGTCGGGGATTTGCCTGGCCGGGATGGTAAACCCAGGGGCCCCAGCCGGCCTTGGAGACAGCTCCCCTGCCCTCAGGACCTCCCCCGGCCCGCGCGCCCCAAATCGCTCCCTGCTTTCGGCCACCCTCACCTCTAGGCTCCTCTCCCAAAGCCGGATGGAACCCAGGAGTCCTGACGGCCAGCACCCCTCCCCTCCGGCGCTAGCCACTACACCCCACTCCCCGCCCCGAGCCAGGGCCGGAACCAGGGCTCCTTACACCCAGTTCCCCTCCCCCACTCTCGCCACTGCACTTCACTCCCTCCCCGCATCCATGGAGCGAACCCTGGAGTCTTAACACTGCTGGCTCCCCCCAAGCCAGGCCCTTTCAGAGACTCCGGCGCTGGCTCCTGGGGAGCCCTTTGGGGTGACAGGGCCCAGAGGCACCTGGGGGCTCTTTCCTCCACCCTGGCCCCACGGCTGGTGGCACAGGCAGGTCCTCTCGCCACTGCACTTCACTCCCTCCCCGCATCCATGGAGCGAACCCTGGAGTCTTAACACTGCTGGCTCCCCCCAAGCCAGGCCCTTTCAGAGACTCCGGCGCTGGCTCCTGGGGAGCCCTTTGGGGTGACAGGGCCCAGAGGCACCTGGGGGCTCTTTCCTCCACCCTGGCCCCACGGCTGGTGGCACAGGCAGGTCCTGGTGGGGATGGGACATGGCTGCATCCGACTGGGGCTGGGGGCTGGGGCTGCGCTCCATAAACCAACCACCTCTTAATGGGGCATCATGACAGGACCCTTGTTCTCCCAGGACACGGGGTCCCTCCCACCTCCATTCCCCACCCGTTTCCTGC